TGGAAGCTGCTGTATGAAGCTTGACCTACAAAGCTGAGACGTCGTAAAGTTCTTGCGAACAGCAAGGCGACACAAGTGCATGAGCGTCGGTATCTAAATTTGAATTTGAAATGTTTCACTGATAAATAAAAAAATTTTTTTCATCAAAATATTTTCATAAATTGAAGTCAAAACTTTGTTATAAAATTTAGCAAACGAAAAATGAATTAGATACACGTCTTGATGTAAAACTTTGTTGAAATATAATTTTTTAATATTGTGATGTCAAATGTCTAAGTTTTTTTTTGGATATAAAATAATTTCAAAATGTTCATCTTTTATCTTCGTCTTTTTGAAATATAACATAAGACAGAATAATAAAATGAGTAATTTTTCAAATCTGAAATTAAATCCTATTTGTATTCAGTAGTAGCAAATTAGTTATTGAATACCTTTGGTTCAGACATAACAACGTTTGCAACTTCACGGCAACAATTTGGAATGCCTGGCGAAAACAATACTAACATTTGTAATAATTCTTGAATAGTGTTAATATCGTGTGTAGCTAAGATATCATCTAACAACGAATAACCACCATTTTTGCATTTACACCAATTCTGCAAAAAGTAATTAATAATTTGCATGGTATAAATTTGGAATAACATTTTATACTGTATAGATGTAACTAAAATTTAAGATTTATCTGTCTGAGATATTTGAATGCTAGATGAAATCAGGATAATTGTATAAAAAAATGCAAAGTTACTTTTATCGCTGGATCCAAACCACTAATTAAAAGCACTACAAGACGATGCCATTTGAATCTACTTAAGCTGATAATAAGTGCATCCGGAACATCGCATTTCCTCGCATCACTGGAAATTTAGTACTGAATCCTGAATTTCCATACAATTTTTGATAGATCATTTCATACAGTTTTTGGAGATTCAAATCTGGGAAATAAAGATTTGACAGTTAAGTAGCATAATTACCGTTATAGCAGCTAATAGTCTGAACTGAACTACATTTGTTTCACAGAAATTATAATTTGATGGACGATGAGAAACAGCAGCTGTCTAGTTCAAAACAATTATACTGTGTTATATCTCTTTTACTGATTGATTAATGTTAACAATTTTTCTCTACTTCAGTTATTAATGTTAACAATTTTTCTCTACTTCAGTTACCTTCGGGATTTGTATAGAATACAGTCTTACTGTACATTATTTTACAATACCATAACAAAATTTGAAAGTATATTAAATATTTTATTTCAAAAGGAAAATGAATACCTCATAGCATTAATATCAACGTTATTTAATAAAAAACGGAGCAAAATGTCGTCGTTACAATTTTGTAAAGCGTATAAAAATGGCGAATGGTAGTGGTTTGTGTATGTCATCTGAATAATACTAACAATTGATCAGTGGGATTGAGCTTAATCAAGGACTTAAATATTTGTGCAGTAGCAAAGAAGAGGAAAAGTAGATTAAAACATTAAATTATTTGATTGAAACAAGTTTTTATGAATGAATTCTGCAAGTTTTTGTAAAGTGGTACGATCAAGTAAAGGCACAAAAGGAAGTTTACCTCGGCTCCAGCTTTAATCAGCTTTTCTGCTGATGTGTAATTACCTTTGCAAATAGCTTCATATAAGGGCGTAAAAAGTCTTTTGCATCCAAAAATTGGTTCCAAATAAGAAGGGTTAATATAAGTATACATTATTTCACCTAGTGGGATCTGAAATATACCAGAATGGTTTGTACAAACTATTAAATACTCTTACAGTTACTTTTATGACTTAAAGGAATGAAATATGAATAACATTTCTAAAAATTACTCATTCAATATAAACAGTGATAATTGAGCCTGAATTAAATTTTTGCGACTCCTCAAAAAAAAAATTTGAAAAAATGTCAGTAAACAATTAAAATAAGTCAAAAATACAAGCAAAAGTTTATACATTTACAGGATAACCAGCATCTAATAACAGATCAAGACAGTTTGAAGAGCCTGCAATGACAGCAGCCATAACTGGATCTAACTGAAATAATATTTGTTATAAGAAAGTGGAGTAGATTATTTGCCTAGCATTAGTATTCCTTTATCTAATTAGACTTTGTAACTCTCAAAACTCTGAAAGATATGAAAACACAGAAATAAAATTTAACATATTGTTATCGGTACTTACAACTGATTCATCCAATACACTTCTATCAACGTGTGGCAAAAGTAGACGGACACAATTGTCGCGATCATGCAATACTGCGCAACATATCGGATGAAGTTTAGGGCGGACCGTAGTCGAAAACAGTGCACACGTCAGGTTACAATTTCCCCCTCTGTTTATTAACAGTTTCAGAATCTAAAATCTTGTACTGCTTATAATTTTAGCAGGAAAAATTTAATAAAAAAATTTTTTTCTGAGTGAATTTTGTTTAACAAATTTAGTGAATCAGAAATTATTTCCAAAATCATATACTAGGTCAAATCCACTGCTTGCAGCAAAATGTATGCAAGTTGAACCATCATTCAACTGAAAATTAATCAAATTCGTGCACTGATCTGAAATAGATTTCAAAATAATCTATAAACTTAAAGTAAGAAACAATTTTAGGTTAAAGGTTAAAGCAGATATACTTAAAAATGAAAAAGATTTTTAAACTTTGAGAGGTGTAAATTGTAAATTCATTGATTATTGAAACAGCGAGCACTTGAAAATAATATTTTGAATTTATGATTCGAAATGATTCATAAATAGTACCTCGGGCAGCATCGAGGAAAAATGTAACACCACTATAATAGTTCGCCTTAACAGCTATCATTAAAGGTGTATAACCAAACTTGTCCCTTTGAAATAAATTCGCTCCAAGCATGGTAAGTCTCCATATCATTTCCTAATCAAACATCACAGTTATCAAAAGCATTCTATCATTATTTAACATTTGTTATCAGTTAACATTTCATTAAATTAAGAGTACATTAAAAGTTATAAAATATAACAATCAAATCCAATCAAAACTGACAGCACTTTTAATACAGTATGATAAAAATGCCGTACTTTACTGAAAGTACTACTTGAATAAAGCAACTTACCGTATGTTTGCATCTCACGGCTTGATGTAAATACTCCGATGTATTTATACTAGCATATTTAGGAACAGCACCTTTTCTAAGTAACAGATTAGCCAAACTGTAGTTTTTTGAGTTCATGGCAAGATCAAACGGTGTCTTTAGATTATTACTTAGAGCGTTTGGATTCGCTCCCTGTAACGTGAAGACAAGAGCTGATATCACTTTGTGAAATTTATGTATTTATTTAATAATGTTTGACATCTCATATTTGATAAAGTATCATTGAATACAATATTGTCTATATGTAATATTCTAGTCTTAAGATATATTTATTAGGTATATAATCAAAAAATTAAAATTAATGATCAAAAGTATTTATTACACGCTCGAGAAAGTATTGGGCCACTGCTGTAGCTTCATCATTTCTGTCAGCTACAGTGCAAACCACCATTAACGGGGTGACGGAACCATTTGCACGACAATCCACGTCATAAATATCTAAGCAAAATAACGAAACGATACGTTTTACAAGCATTTTTTATCTATTCAATGAAAATAGTTTAATTAAGCTAGTAATTAAAAATATAATCAAAATTAATACTGTAAAAATTGTCTATTTTTAGATACGATACGATAGTTACAATTGAATACGAGCATCTCAAATCGCAAAAAAAGTGAATCAATGTTATTGAGAGTAAAATTATACCTATCTGATTATGATTGTTTGATCACCAAAGTCTGTTTTCTCTTCGTAATAATAATATGAGAAAAAATCTAGATTCAAATAAATTAAGCAGTAATACATTCATTATATGAGCATTACAATTAAGGTCCAATTTATTTCTATATTTTTAACAAAAATGTACGGCAAATAAAATCTAACCACTTTCAATTAGAAATTTGCAGCAGTTCAAGTTTAGCTCATGAGCTGCATCGTGTAGTGGCGTTAGTAAGCTAGGTTTCACAAATATATCATCTGAGCTATTTGATATACTCCATATAAGTCTTGTATCCTTCGAGATCATACTAAATGCCATGTCTGTGACGATAAAGCTTAATCAATGCACAGATCTGTACCCAATGACTTCTTGGCTAATTAACTGAAAAAATTCATTCCAGCAAAGAGAAGTGAGTAAATTGCTCGATGTCTGCAAATAGCAAAGCAGTGAACACTGTTGATTTTCAGTAATAAAAAAGGGAACTGAATCTGAAAAAGCCTAAAATGTGCAAAGCTAAGACAAGTTTGAAACCGTTTTCGGAATAACATCTTTCTAGTTCAAAAATAACGCAAAAATTGAGAGTAAAAAATAGCGAAAATGACTTTAAATACAGAAAACAAGTTTATAAAGTCCTGGAATTAAAGGCATGTATGAGGAAAGAAGTTGACCTATGCGGAAGATAACTGACTTTAAGTGGAAAAATTGTCTTCCAGGTAAGAGACTCACCTGCGCGGGAAAGGACTGACCTGAGAGGATAACCAACCCACAGGTTGCCCGCGTCGCTCATTGGTTGCTGCAAGGTCAAGCCATATCTCTACTTTTCTCTTGGAAATTGCCATAGGAATGTTGCATTCAATACTCCAGCAGCAAATCAAAAATTCTTGTAAGAACTTTAGAGAATCTTTATCGCGAAATGTGATTTTCGCTGCTATAAATTTATGAAAGTTTTTTCTTTTCAAATTTAAACTCAACAAAGATAAAAATTTGCAAGAAATATTAGTCATTCTTTATCTAACAGAAATAGATAAATAACTGCAACATTTATGCAATGTGATAGGCACACCTTCTGCAACAGTATCAGTAACAGTAACGGTAACAGTAAGATAATAATAACAGTAAGATAATAATAACAGTAATAATAACAGTAACAGTAACGATAATACAGTAATAATAACAGTAACCGTAACAGTGACAGTAATAGTAACGATAATAATAACAGTAATACTAACAGTAACAGTGACAGTGACAGTTTTACAGTATTTTCTCGTAATTAAATAAATGCATTTTTTCTAGACAAATTACAAATTATATTTTATCAATTACCATCAGAAAAGAATAACTCAAATATTTTCACATATATTTTATTGCTGTGAAGATTTTTGTGCGTATTGATTGCTCAGTCCTTCTAAAATAATACTTCCAAAAATTTAGGTTTTTATAATTTCTGACTAAAAATGCGAATCTTTGATTGGTAGCAGAATTTAATACCTTATGCATTGAATATGTGCGTGAGGTCAAAAAAATGAATAAATTAGCAAATAATAATAATTTTTTAATTCTTCACACTTTTTGCTTAACGTTTAATCTTTAAAGAGCAAAGGTCAAGAATAGTTATGAATTGTAAATGAGTGATCTTTAAATTTGTCGAAAACATAATAATTTTTTATCAACTCAGTGCAAAATGAACATAGCAAACTGTTATTACAAGTAGTTTTCGTAAGAGCTGATAATAATAATAATATAATAAAAATAGTAATAATGGTAATAGTAATATTTATTATTATTATTATTATTATAAATCATTACTCAAAAGCGTAACTGCGAATTCAGTTTACAATTAAATGATTTCTTAAAAAATGCATTATAGTCTTGTGAATATATTTCCAGAATGAACATGTTATTTCTTTATGTTATGCTAATATCAGTGAATACTGACTAAATGTATGCATGTTTTCAGCTTCTGTTAAGACTAAGTTGGCCAAAATCGACAAAAATTTTATTGTAATCTACCGAGATGTGGCCTTCTTGCTTTGCTTGGGATTTCTGCTTTCAGAAGAGATTTCTGCTTTATTTGTGTTAATTTATTTTGCTGACAAAATATGTGCTAATTTGTGTCGCTATAGCAGTTAGCCAAGTATAGCTCAGCAAGTATTCTCATAGAAAGCTGTAAAGCTTTTGTGAATTAATTAAATTTTAAATTGGCAACGAAATATCAAAGCTATAAACTCATGTAAACTAGTAATTTGCAACGCTAGCAAGTCGTCAGAATTATTCACCAAATTAGTGCTTATTCCCAACTGCACAAATTATGCTACCTGCATTGTATTCAGTGTATTAGCAGTTAGATCAATTTCAAATTTGGGCCTTTTTTTATTTGCGTTCAAAATTCAAAATTTACATAGCAGTAATGCGATATGCAAACTAGCAAAAATTTGTAAGTTAGCAACTCTTGGAGAATTACTTAGAGATGCAGTGCCAGAACTCGCAAAGATTTCTTCGTACCAGACTGCAGCTGTAGCATCTTTCTCAACGACAGCATCAATGAGAAGCAGTAGTAGCAGTGGTAGTAGTAGTACTAGCAGTAGCAGTAACAGTAGTAGCAGTTAGTGGTTGTAGCAGTAGCAGCAGCTTTCATGATAATAATTCATCACTGACGTGTCATTTTGGTTTGCAAAACGCTCGCATATAAATTACATAATGTGATACAAAAGTTTGCATGATGTCTGTCAGCAGTCGTATTCGGTGTTGTTTTTTTATCAGTGAGGGAAATATGATAAATAACACGTATAGACGTGTTATGATTTGAGTTCAGTACTAACTCTAAAGTATAATACTACTTGTATCGTAATATAAAACTGTCTTGCGTCAAATCACGTAAAATTTTTACGTAAAGTAGCTTTTTTTTCTTTAAGTGTGGACAGTCAGATGTAATGGAAGCGGAAATGCAATCAGTTCAGTTGAAAGTGGTCTTGAGTGACTGTCAAGAGAATCTTGTGCAAGAAATGATAAAATTATTATCGGTATATTTTAATTACTGTATTAAGGAGATAACTTCGGATTAGTCATATCTTTAGAATTAATTTCTGATCGGTAGAATTTACGCAATCAATATTGCTGAAGTGTAATTTTTGACAAATTATTACATATTAATGTATATGCAATAATGTTTACTAACTGAATTCTTCTTATGCACACGTTTGTTCACAAAGCTTTCCAGCGTATTAATTTTCTCTATATTTTTACGCTTTTTTGTAGCAGTTAAGTTGGCTTGATTTAAATGGTAATGGTGTGAAATTGTGTGCACCAATAAATTATCGACAAATGACTGACCACGATTATGGTGATGTGTGGACCGAACTTACTTTACAGGTAGAGTGCCCCTTATGCAAATTTGAACTTTAACTTCTGAACTTTTAATTATCTCTCAAAAAGTCTTTTCAGAGAAATTCGGGAACTTTCTACGTTAAGTTCACAGAGTAGAGAGTACACCTATTACCTCTTTAAAATAAAGTGAAAGGTTTTATTTTATTTACTATATCCTCTCTTTCCTATCAGTAATTTTCCCTATGAGCATGACTTCAGGTCACGTCTAAATGCTGGCGTATCGATTTACTTCCGCTTGCGATGAGATTTCAGATGCTTACACAGCATTTTCATTTTAATTACTCTCGTGATGTCATTCTTCAAGTCATACCAAAACAAGTCTTCTCAGAAAATTGCCTGTAAATCCTTAATTTGTTTTAATTCTTAACTTTTTTTCACCAGAACTGCTTTAAAAGTTAAGTTTCATACTAAGAGGTAAGTATTTTTAAGTCTGCTATATATTTTGCAAGTACTGACTTAACCCGATATCTAAGGTTATTGGTGGATTGTTCTAAAATATGCGGTATTTAGATCAGCTCACATGTTTTTACCTTTGGACGTAATTGATTTTGGCAGTTTATTCAAAGGTCGATTTGTATCCCATTTTTCTCGTTCTGCTTTCATTGGTACACCATCAGATCAGTTACATAGTTTACAAATTTTACGGATTCTCCGAAACTGCCCTACGATTATTCATCCTATGTTTGTAGATTTCGAGCATGATCGAGATATATTCACTGTTCGATTTGCTGTTTTAGATGGTAAATAATCAGTTTGTTATCAATAATTCAAGTAACTTTTTCATTTTGACTTGAAATTATTTGCAACAGTTTGTAAAGTAAGACTGAATTGCAGGTGGGTTTCGTACAAAAGTTAACAATTATTGCGAAAACAATGCAGTCAACAACTCCAACACTGTTTTGGGATCAGCTGTTGCACTGAGAGTTAGAAAATACCAAGACTTGAAAATATTTCAAATTTTACCGCCTATTATGAAATAGTTTTTTTGACATAAACCCTTGTAATTCAAATTTAGCAACAAAAAATTGGCAGTTTTTTGTCATTAAAAATTAAACGAATAAAAAGAAAGTAGTATTACTTTTATAGGTACGGTATGCTTCAATTCGTCGTATTTTGGTTGATCAGCAAAGTTGTTGCAAACGAATTTATTTTCATCTCAATTATCCACCCGAAATAAGGAAGTACAGAAAAAAGTTGGATGAAGATGAAAAGAGAGGAAATGCAGATGGAAATCGATGGAGGTACCGTTCTTTTTTGATCTGAAGAGTAATGGATTGATACTTGAAGTTTTTTTATTGATTCGTGAAAGAATTGACTTCTAATTTTTCCGTTGCATTCTGATTTAAAGTATGGAGTGAAACGATTTTAGCAGAAAGCAGTGAACACTCAACAAACTTGTTTAATTCATTGTTACATTGAATGGTTGTTTCATATTTTGGTTATTCATTAACGTAAATTAAAGAACTCATCCTAATGATCACGTGGCCCTTTTTAGATCAATTCCGGAGTATAATGATGATAGGAGAGATAACTGTTCAGCTATTAATGAAAGTCAGTATTTTTGCTTGCAATTGCAGCAGTACATACCGGTAATTTTAAAATTTAATATCAATATGGAAGATTTAAATGTTTATAAGAAAGCACAAAATTTTAGAGTATCTTTAAAAAAGTATTAAAATTACTATACCAATATCTTTCAAAGAACTCATCCTAATGATCACGAGGCCCTTTTTTAGTCAATTCTAAAGTATAATGATGAATTAGCACTTTGTTTCATTTGTTAATGTTTTTGAAGATACCTTATGATGCATATCAGTGTTTTTTGAATAGAATTTAAATCTGGCTTCTATTTTTTTTACATTTAAAATTGTAATCCTTTTTAAGGAATACATTTTTTATGAAATACTTAGTCGACTTCGTGCACGAGCAGTATCATCAATTGAATTTGCAAATGTCACTTACAGATATTTAAGAATATCAGAGTTTGTTATTTTTTATTAATACTTTACTCATTTTTCTCTGTAATTAAAACATGTTGGAAAGTAATGTCAACAATTTTTTACAATTTTGTTTCATTTTCTTATTTTGCTTTTCACTCATTGTGATATAACTTGCAGTTATGTGGCTCTTCCTATACGTTATATGGGTTGCAATTATCGTACCTGTGGAAATGGTGAAATAGCAAATGGTATAGAACGAACCTATGAACCACAGTTTCCGCGAGTTGATCCTGAATGTCAACGAAAAATAAGAAGTTGTGATGTGTTTGGTTTAGAATATTTGATTGCTGCTTTACTTTCTCGTGGAGCTGTTGTAAAAGATCAAATTTTGGTAAATGATACAAGATTTAAACTCTTCGACTTCATGTTCAAGGATAAAGCTATTAGATTAGTAGAATTAAATGAAACTATTTAAGTGATGGAATGATTTTGATAAACTTATTCATATAAAGAGATTCCGTGGATTTTGATATTTTAAGACAGTTACTTCATACAAATAATATGTTTAAAAAATTGTGCAATTTGTAAATTATGAACTCTTTGGACGTTCATGATGCAGAATCTCTGAAAAGTGCTTTAACACAATAATGTGTCATAATTATTTAATTAGGTTTGAACCACGTTTGTTCACAGTCCTCAAACCTAGGTGTTTTCGATCTCAAATGTACAGTATTTTCAAATTTTCAAAGATACTGTCGGCAATCATCAGTTTCAGATAGATGATGAAACACGTAATGCTTTTATTGACATGATTCTGTCAAGATTTAAAGAAAATAAAGAGGTATGCAATTTTTCTAAGTAGTACTATTTACTAATGTGCAATTAGTCAGTCCCAAGTAACACTGATATGTTATTTTTTATTTGTTATGTACTAAATTTAGGAACACTCGGAAGTGATCATGCATTGTTTGTTTTTTTCTTTATAAATGTAATGCTTGAAATATAAAAAGAAATAAGGAAAAGAAAGCATTCTGAAATATCAAATTCATTACAAAAAGTCAAATTATTATATTTTGATAAAGCTATATAAATCGAGTATTATTTCTTTTACAGTTAACTTTGGAAGCACTGGAACGATTGATAACTATGGTTGACGAAGTCAGACAAGTCCCGTGTTTATTTTCATCATTTGAAAAGATTCGAAATAGTTTGCTTAATCAGAAAAATATATTGGAAGAAGTTTACCAAATGAATAAAAGAGATGGATACCTACGTGTACGAAAAGTTGGTTTTTAAAGTTTGTGCGGTAAATTACATTCAATATGACAGTAATGAGTTCTAAATTACATGCAACTATAAGAATTTAAGGTAGTTATAACACCAACTCGTATATTGCTTGTTGTGCCTGAATTACTTATGGGAAATCGAGTACTTCGGACATTTGACAAAGATGGAAATGCAGCATTACGGATACAGTTTCGGGATGATGATGGAACACCACTGCGATTAAATACCGTGGGATCCTTCCTAATACAGTCAACAACTTTTAATACGCTCGCTAGAGGAATTTATATTGGGGGTATTTTGTTCTTTTTATCTTCGAAAATAAGAAAAGCAATATAATCGTTGCCTTTTCCTTAAATTGCTCTAGACTACTATGTAAAACATGATGATACTAATTTTAGAAGTTTGATTTTTTGCAGAGGAATTTAAAGAATATATTTAGTAACTGAATTCTGAGACTTTTTAATTTTTTTAGCTCTGTAAAAAATATTCTTCATCATAAGAGTTTGGTAAACTGTCCGAAATTTGATTAGTAAATTTGACCATCAGCGTGCTGTGAGGTATCAGACGAAAAGAATAATTTATCAGTTCAATGAATTTCTTTAATCAGTCTCATTCACTTTCTATTTTTATCCAAAAACTCAGCACTTTTATTTTTAAGATTATCATTCTCAGAGTATATTCATAAAAACTTTAGCTGGAATATCAGTTATTAATTAAAATAATAGCGTTATGCTTATTCGCGATAAGATATATGAAGTAATTGTTAAAAAAGAAGTCAACAATCACGGCAAGCAGTTTAAAAAAAGTAGCTTAAAAATGTGATACATTATTTGAATCATATTGCAGAACGACATTTCGTGTATCTTGGATCGTCAAACTCACAAATGCGGGACAGTGGTTGTTATTTTTATGATGATGGAAACGGTGGTCAAGCGCATAAAATTCGTGAACAGCTAGGGAAGTTTGACCGCTGTAATATACCAAAAATGATGTCTAGGATGGGGCAATGCTTTACGCAAGCCAGAGTAATATCTTTCTCATTTATAACTTTGTTAGGTGAATTGAAGAAATTCAAAAGCTTCCCTTCAATGTGCATTGATGTTAAAACAATTTAAATAAGCCATAAAAATCATTAAAAAATTTGCAAAAAACTCAAGTAAAACTTAATTTATTTATTAGCATGAAATTACTGCTTTTTAATTACTGCACGGGTGTCTTTAACATTATTTCTTGAATATAGTTTTAAAACGTTTGATGTTTGAATTGATTTTTTTTGAATTTTTCAGCGATGTGCAGTGACGTTGAAACGAAACAAATATACTAAAACATATGATATTATTGGTGGACGAGATAAAAACCAAACTTTTTACATATTCTCTGATGGTGTTGGTCGAGTTTCACAAGAGTTTGCTCAAAAAATGGCTTCAAGTGTGGGGTTGGGCTCATTTGTTCCAAGTTGCTACCAGGTCTAGTGTATTCCATTAATTTTTGTTTTCATTCTTTTTGTACCAGTCGTTTTCAGGAATTTTTTCTGACCACTTTTTTCCGTATCAATCAACGCCAATGGATAGCTTGTAATACATTTGAATATATTTAACTAAGATAATCCTTTGTAACATTATGACACTTAAGATTCGTCATCGAGGTATCAAGGGTGTCCTTTCTGTCGATCCAGGTTTGGATGAACGTAAACGGTGGGCTGTTACGAACAATATTATCGATTATAACAAAATGACAGATAAACAAAATGATTTAGCGGTGGTGTTTCGTCCTTCTCAAGTATCCCTTTGCACACTTTATTTCCATTTATTCCGAATTTATCTTATCTTAATAATAATATTATTATTGATATCAGAAGAGCAGAATAGTGAGCCTTTTTGAGTAAATCAAAATATACCAAAGAAAGTACTGAACTGTTTTTTAATTATGGAAATAACGATCATATATATGGGACTCAAATATATATGTTAGCGTTAAATGTTTTATATATTTGGAGCTTATTGATGCAGGATAAGTTCAAGGCACCCCGAGATGAATATATTGAAATTGTAAAATACTCCAAACCGACTTCAGTTTGCCTTAATCGACCGATGATATCTATTTTGGACCAGGTAATTTTGAAATAACTGTCATATATCTCTGTTTGACGCGAAGGTTTTTGGAACTATCGAAATTCCAAATTTCACTTGTTATAAATTAGGTTGGAAAACTCGAAATCAATGGCAAATGGTAGCGTGAATTCATTTTATGATCTATCAAATAAGAATTTGTAATGATGATTTTCAAAAATCGCAAATATAATAGCAGATTAAATTCTTTCTGCCTCTGGGATTTTTTAAGTGTCGCTTTAAATTCATTGAAATTTTTGGGAGAAACAATATCCTTACTCTGCATTTAAATAGACTTTAAATTCTTATATTTTTGTGGACTCATTTGTTTCTCCATGACTTATGCATCAAATAGTTGTTATTCGCAGTACAACATTTTAAGGTTAGTGGAATGCAAGGTTTCTCGGTTCATAAAAGAGTTACTGAGCGCATCCATGATTTACTGCATTTACAAATAGCTCAGTTGGGAGATGCGCTAATGAGTGAAGACAAGTTTGCCTTTCGTACTTGAACACTTTTCTGATCAGATCAAAAGTAATCAAATTAAGATGACTTTTACACCTCTAATTGTCTTCAAATGCCTATGCATAATTATGTAGAGTGCATTTGTTTGTAAAAATTAGAGATTTTCAGATGTCGGGAAAAGCTTAATGAGTTACCATGGCACGTTAATGTCTCACGTCTATCACTTATACATGGTTTTGCTTTAACACAGGAACCATTTTTCCGAAGTCTGCTGAGAGCAAATATTAAATGCACTTTAAGCAAGTTATTTCAGTTTACGGTTTCATTACTCTCAATAATTAATTTAAAAATTTTTACTTCAGAAAAGCTGATGGCTAAGGAACAAATACAAATACCACCATGTCTGGGCCGATCGATGTTTGGTGTAATGGATGAATCAGGCCTGCTGCAATCAGGACAAGTTTTTGTGCAATATACAAAAAATATTTGGCTCAAGACTCCAACCAAATCTACTTCGAAAATTATTTTAACTGGTCAGTATTAGTTTTCTTGTTATAATAGATATGATATTTTCTGATTTTTTTAAAAGATGGAACTTCTTTGTTTTACTGTCTTTTTCAGGAAAAGTTATGTTAACAAAAAATCCTTGTATTGTTGCTGGTGATGTGAGAGTGTTTGAAGCGATTAATATTCCTGCATTACACCATTTAGTTGATGTCGTTGTTTTTCCTCAGCACGGTCCACGACCACATCCGGATGAGATGGCTGGTTTGTAGATTAAATTTTGTATTTACTGTGTACTGGTAATACTGATTGTGATATATGTTCTTTGCTTTTGATTAAATATGTGAAAATTCCTTACCTTTGTTATTCTAAGGTAATCGAAATTGTAGTTACATAGCAGGAAATTTTTAGAAATGATAACGACCATTATAATGTAGTAGTTTAGGATCAGATTTGGATGGCGACGAGTATTCAGTAATATGGGATTCGGATCTCATGTTTGATTACAATGAAACTCCATCGGATTTTACGAAAAATATATCGGAAGGCAAAATTGTAACAGAGGATGCAGTGGTTTGTATATCCAACTAATAATATTTGTTTCATCCATACGCCACTTTTTACATATATTTATTTGTGTTGTTGGTTTTATAAAGTTAGTTAATAAATTTTTGAAATGAATAGTCCCTGTAATGGGAAATTCAAGTAACTCTCAGAAGAACTTTGAAAAATTGTTATTTTTAAGGATTTGGAAATGAGAAAGTTTTTTGTCAATTACATCAAGCAAGATTCGATTGGGTCTATTTCAAACGCTTTTCTGGTTAATGCTGATCTTTATGGCATTACTAGTGAAGTAAATGTTGCTTATAAATTTATTTTTAATTAAAGAATATGAATTTTTTAATGCTGATCAGAAGTAAATCATTATTATATGGTGTGATTAGCTTCATTACTGGATAACACCGTATTTTTCTCAATTCTTCATCGGAATTCGCTGTTTCTTATCACATTAATTTCTCTGCATATTTTTTTAGCGCAAATTTTGCAAATTACTCTTTCGAAGAATATAAATTCTCGAATTCTGTTTGTGATAGTAGATAGAAAGTAGGTGAGCTGTAGTGCTATACTGAATTCTATTTTCTACAGATTTGTCTTACGTTTGTTGGTTTCCAGGTTTGCATTAATATAGCAAAGAAGCATTCTAAAGCTGTAGATTTTCCCAAAACCGGTAGTGCTCCTGCTCTGCTAACAAAACAATGGACTGTGAGTAAAAGTGGTAACGTGATTCCTCCTGAGAGATCTGAACGCTGGCCTGACTTTATGTCTAAAAATCATGAACCGAGTTATATTTCCTTACGATTAGTTGGGCAGTTGTACAGGTTGCATATCATTTTTTGTGCATATTTTGAAGAAATTTGATCCTCATTCATTACATGAAAGTATGATTTCAGACAAATTTAAAAAATTTCAACTTGGTTCACATTGTTTTTGAGGAATTGAAGACTTATTTATTAAATTATATCCTCAGGCAAATAAAACAGTTAGACGATGTTTTGAATGTTACCGAAGTTCATGAGGAAGCTACACCTGTCCTATTAGATCCAAATTTGGAGTATCCCGGTTGGGAGTGCTACAAAGATATTGCGCAGATACAATTTAATTCTTATCATGCTCACATACGAGTCAGATTTTGTGCAATACTTTTAATATTTTTTCTTTCACATATTTCAAAAGAGTTGAATCTTCAGTAAAGATATTTTTCTCTTTAAATATAATTATTAACTCTGTATTTGAAAGAAACTTATTCAGTCATTAATGGAAAATTATGGAGTTGAGGACGAAGGACAATTATTTTCGGGCTTCATTAGCGTTATTCGTAAAAGAATTAGCGATCGAGATACAGATGATATGTCATTTTATAATACGAATCATGTCATCGAGAAAAAAATTTCGGCCATATTCCGAGCGTAATTTTAAAAAATCATACGTCCAAGTTTACTAATGCAAATTTACTGCGATTAAATATGGAATGCAGTCTGAAATGATATGATGTTCTACATTTTTCTTATATATAAACTATTTTGTCTTATAAATATTTGCAGGTATCGACGCAGCTTTTTTGAAGAATTTGGTGGATTTTTAGAAAACACATCGCCAGATGATGATGATATTCACAGCAGTAGTAATACAGAAGATCGACGTGTTTGTCTGTATCCAACGTCAGAAATGAAACAGAAAGCATCGGCTTATTACATTATTTGCTATCGTAATTTTTTGATTTATTATCTGCGTAATATCAAAAGCATTCATCTGCAATGAGTGATGACCCATTGATTTGTTTTAGTGATGTAAATCTGCAGATGAATTTATAATATCATTCAGTAAAATCAGTATAGGAAACAAAAAAGTTCTGTTATCGTAATTTTTCAATTTATCAAGCAGAGATTTTCATAAATGAGTGAATGATTAAATGTTATGAGATATCTGCTACAAATTAAATTCTTAAAGTTCATTGACATATATCAGTTAGTAAGCAAAAATGGTGAAGTTATTGGCATTTTTCATTTATTCTTCGTGAGAAGTATGATCGCTTTCAAGCGTCAAAACTACTGTTGTATAATCTCTTTATACTGCATATAGCGTGTTTACTTATATCTTTTTTAGGAGCTGCATCATTAGACAGATTTCATCGAATTTTATCTTTTGGTTGGCTTGTTTGGGATATATTATGCAAAGTAAAGCAGGAAGTAAGAATGTCATATGAGAAGCCAATAATTCCAACATTAGATCCATTAAGCGAATCAGCATCAGAAGTAAATTCCATCTTCTGTCTAATTCATTTTTCTCAAATAGCAGCCTATCTATTAGTTAAGAAATAAAATTTTTCCTCATTTGTAATGTTAATTTAATAATAAGTAGACCGAAATTTAATCATTAGTGGATAATAAATAAGTTATTGCAGTTTATCAGGAATTATTGTGAAGAAAATGTGGAGGATAAGAGATATATTTTATCGAGCATCATAAATGGAGAACCAAGTGGTCAAATTCTTAGATCTTATTGCAGTCGATACAATGGTTCGTTTGTCATTATGCAACACTTTACACTGTTTCAAGCATATATGTGTTATGAATATCTCGAGACTGCTAACAAAATTCTTGAAGCATGAGTGAAAATAAAATTTGAATAGATTCATGATATGAAGTTATATACATTTGCAAAATTCTTTTGCCCTTGTAGTGCATCAATTATTATGATATTTCTAGGCCTTGAAGACTTACTGTATATTCTCATCAAGTGGGCCAATTTTCGTGGTTTACTAAAAAGGCATCTGAATGCATTGCATATTTGTTTCTTGTTTTTACAGTTTGGTTTGGGATATTACAACGAAAGTCAGAGCATTCTACAAGCAAGATTTCTTGAGGAAGCAAGAGTTTTTAATTTCATTGAACAAGTTGTGAATTAATGGATTAAAGAATTCCAATTTTCAAGTTGATTTATTATGTTGACAATAAAAGCGCACGTCGAGTTTTTGGAATACTTATAAATTGTGTATGTTTTCAGACATATGAAGTAGTTGAGAGTAGTTCGCATGAAGTATGCAATTTAAATGATCTTGTCGGTGGTATAGGTGCATGTTTATTGAAATTTCTTAAATTTCTTGGTTCTCGTACTATGCAGACTATAAAAAAGCTTGATTTTCGAAACATTGGATACCACTCGTTACTTTTAAGGGGACAGTGGATGGAATTGAATAAGGTAATATTTCTTCAAATAAAGATGTGCACAATATAACTTCCTAGAAATTGCGATATAAAAAATAAAAAAGTTTTCCAGCTATTTAAGATGTTAAAAATCCGAAATTGAAATTTCTGACAATATTTACTTTTGGAAAATTTGTGATTTTTTGGTTCCATGCATTGGAGTATTAAGTTTTCGAGACTTTAGTAATGCTTACCTTAAACAACATTCAAATGGAAGCTTATTTTTTTAATTACTTCAAACTAAGAAGTCTTTCTCACTCTAGGAAATGTGCTTAAATTTGGAAAAATTTTGCATTTGTGAGACTGTTCGGAATTTTCGTAGTTTTTTGCTTCACCATATTTGTTTTTTCCAGACTGCTTTAAAAACTTTTTTTGGGATAGCTTTGGCTGGCAAAGTCAGTTACATGTCAATTACTGGAGCGAACAATAAGATTAACAGTTTGATCGATCATGAAAGTGTAAGATACAAATTTGTCCGACTGACTTTGACTTGTTTAATGAAAATTCATGGATTCATTGATATAGTTTTCATTTATATTAAATTTTCAAAAAGTGTTTATAGTTCGGAGCAATCGAAGCCGATCCGTTTATGATAGAATTACCTGTGGATTCATCCATATACTTTGACACGTTTCGCGAAAAACTAATACGCTATTCTGGTGTAAAATATTTAGAAATGCGTCAAGTTTTTTATCGAAAAAAAGGTGGGATTAGGGATTTAAGATGCAAAATACTTCTGTTTCTCTTTACTTTACATGATTTGAGCTGAAAAAAATTTAATTTGTTTTGTTTAATTTTGAACATATTTCAGGAATATATGTATAAGATGGATTTTTAAAAACATCTAATATAAGTTCTCATTATTTAGTTTTGTAGATCGTGTTATTGTCTCGGCAGTTGGTACGTTGGAAGCACTGGAGCGTTTACGTGACTTCCTTTCCGTGCGGCCATTTGTAAATTCTCTTTTCAACTATAAAGAAAACAGTGATGTTATTAGTCGAATTATACTAGAACGTCTTGAAAAACTAAATTGATTACGTAATCGTTATTGAATTTTTAGTTAGGAAGTTTCTTTCTTAATCGCAGTGTACTCTGTTAATGTGCCAGTTAACTAATACAAATTATCTTGAGCATGTAAAAAGATCTAAAAGTTCCAAAGTGGCTATAGAAGTTTATACAGTAAATACTTTCGAAAATTGTGTGGGCAACAATTTCAGGAAAGGATTTTGGAACTTTCATCTGTTGTCTCGGCTAATTTCCATGCAACTTTATTTTATGGTTATGATCAAATTTTAACGAAAAATACAAAATATGAATATATTGCATCACTTTGCTACATTACTTTGTTTCAGTACATGTTGTTCTATTATTTTTTCATTTCTGTGGAAAGAAATATCATTATCAAACTTGCTCTAACTCATTATAGTTTTTCTAATTTTGCGCGATTTGTATAGAATATCGCTAATATTCGGTAACTGCTAGCATTGTAATTTAGACTTGCGCTTTCTTATTTCTAATGTAAACTGAAGCTATATAACTCTTCAACGATAGAAAATCTATGTAATTGCAGGAAGATTCTGGCTAAATTTTCTCATTTTAAATTGTACCGATAAGAAATTTTTGTAGTGCATGAACTGCTTTATAGGAGGCTTGCTTTGATTCTGATTCTACGAACTCACAGCAATTTTCCTAATGATTTCAAGAATTGGGGTTTAAAAGCTCCAGTTCATGTTCTGTTTGTGAATTGGTACATATTTAATAATTGATAATTCCTGTAAATTATTTATCTGTTTCCTTAATGAACCGCAAATTGTCTGCAATAGCTACGTGAATCAGGTTCATTTATATCCTTTACTTCGTTTTGACAGTAATAATAGTGATTTGAATTGTTATAAATCTGTAGTAGAAAGATTCAACGTTTTCTGCTGCCTAAATAACCGCTGTGCTCGATAATATTTTGTTATTACACGAATTTTATTGTATTAAGCGAAGATGGCAACTGCGAAGAGATTCTAGCGTTTTAGAATTAACATTAGGAAAAGAGCGTAGATTTGTAAATGAATATAGTATGAACATGAATTAAGATTCTATTCATACCAGTGTACTTGTTGATTGTATAGGTAAGATTGTTTGTCTGTATGCGATTAACTGATTAAGGAAGATCCTTGAGCAACAAATTCGTTTATTATAAATGAGCTAATGAATAGTAATTAATTCAAATAATAAGGCCAGTCATAACAGAAGTATTTGATCGTATGAGTAATGCTGTCTTTGCATCAATAGATGAATAAGTATTACAAGTTATTTATTTGTAAAGACGAAAATATAACAAAGTAGTACAAGAGAAATCAATGAAAGATAAAAGAAAAGCCAGCCGTAGCGAATCTGATCAGTCACTGACAGACTTCTAATTTGATAACAATGTAACCGATATAAGTAATTCAATATAGTGTTATAAACTTGGCGCTGAAATTCTTATAATTTACTATTTCGTCTTTAGTAATCACACAGAATGAGTAGTCTTGTGCTATATATAACAATTATGTATCAAAACAAATAATACTAAAATTTATCAAGTGCGATAGTGCAAGTCTAGAATGGCTCATATACATAAAGTGAGAATCAGAAAGTCGCTGTAGGAAGTCAGTACTTCTAAATAGAGATAATTCAGGATTGAATTTTGGATGTTGATAAATTATAGGATATTTTATTTTTAATGATTAGGCAAGCATGTTTATATATATTTCTATAGCAATATTTCTTGATGGGAGGTAGTAAAATACTGATTAGACATGAATTTAAAAATTTTCAATCCTGTCAAATAAATTTGAATTTTTTGGTTTTGCTAATTAGTCAAGTAAGACTTATTTACTTGAAAATGTGACACCACTAGCAAACTTGATATGGTTGCTACTGTAATATAGATGCAAAGTGCTATTTTCATATGTTATTGTAATGGAAATATTTCATATTTTTCAAAGCGTCCCTGTATTCATTTGGGCCGCTGGAATAGACCTCTTTTTTTAAGCGCGCGATTGTGTTTAAATAGAAAGGCTATTTTCTAGTGAGAAGAAGAGGCGGGAATAAGGTGTATGTGGTCAAAATCGATAGATGCAGTCTGGACAGTTCAAATAGCACTCGCGACTACTTTCATAGACACTTACTGAACATCTGCAAGTGAAGTGACTCAAGTTGTTTCTAGTTTTAACTTTAAACGTTGTTACTTCATGATTACTTAGTGAATATTTGGTCGATGAAAAGGTCGAGCAAATGTTTTTTGTCGTAAATTCCTTTTTTTATAGGCACGTAGCGGTCACTTATGATTAAAGATTAGAGTATTGCTATTGTAGCTCAAGACAATTGATGCATATTTGATCAGTTTCATTGTGTCAAACGAAAGGAGTATAAATATCGATTACTACTTGAATAAATGAGGTAGACCATTTATCGTTCTTAGAATTAAATTTAGAGATAAATTATTGTAAGCATATACAATGTTTATAGTATCAGCATCTGAAGTAGAACTGTATTTAGAGGTGAACTCTTTGGAACAAAATCACTTTTCGAGGTCTCTCTTCTTGCAGTCCTCAATTCCTTCCATTTACTCTTTAGGTTTAGGAAATAAATGGGAGGATAAGGATGGTGAAGCGTACATTATGGATCATATGAGAATTTTAATGCTTTTTGTCTAGGTCATAAATGGAAAGCACAAACAAGCAAAGGCAAATAAGATATAAAGTTTTGATTTCGATCTGGCTTTTTCTGTGATTAATTTTTGTCTTTTTATTTAGCGCTTTTGTTTGTATTAAGTTAACTTGCTGCGCTTTTTTAATTTTTATGGATGTGCAACATAGTTTAGTCGAAACTAATACCTATATGTGTAAGAAGAAAGAAAAATCGGCTTGAGGACTTCTCAAAGTGTTATGAGTGGAAATAACGGATGGGAATCTCAAATATTTGATAGCAGAGTAAGTCATAATGCACAGGAAAAGTGTGGGAATTGCAGTAATTTTCAGGTGGAAAATTAAAGCTGTAGTCAAAGAGATAAAACTGACAAAATATGCTTACTGTTGCTTGCTGTGAAAGAGATGTGCTTATTGTTTAAATGGCATGCGTTAAAGACAATACATGGTTTAATAAAATGTTGGAGACCAACTCAGTTGTACTCATTTCGAATCAGTAAAAATTTGCGTTTTTCAAATTAGTAAGTAATAGATATGTCATGTATTGTCTCGATAGTAAATTTAGTCCTTAAATTCATTTAAACAATAAGTTTGATTAATTTTTTTATATTTTATCTTAGGGTGGTGAAAATATTTGATAACAGATGATTCCACTGGTCCGTCTAACGCCATGCAACCAGTGTATAGCTCTCAACTTTGTCTTTTCTTTACAAAATTCTTTTTTAAAAAAAATAGCAGGATTTTGAAGTAAATTGTATGGCAAGCATCGTCTAACTAAAAACGAACTTTGATTAAACTGAGATTGAAATGATATGTGAAAAAAAAAGTAGGAACAAAAGAATATGGGTAAAATGGATGAAAAAGTGTAGAATATAGGTGGAAATTACGTGCTTTGTTTTGAGAGCTTGTATTACAAATGCTTGTCAAGCTGAATGGCTTTATCATTAGTGACGCTGCATACTTGCATGTTTAATATCTTCACTTGAACAGAAGTTTCAGGATGTTGTCCGGGAAAATAGTTCAATAGAGATTTGCAATTGTTGCAATATGTGCAGAATTATTTAATTTAGTGGCTTGTGATACTTTTTCTAGTCTACCGAGAGATCATCTGGATGGCGAATTATATCTGCGAGCATTTGATCTAAGTAAAGACTGAGTTTTCATGGTATACATTCCACTTGGGATTAGTCTTTATGGGACATAATTTTGTTGCACATTGTGTCTGCTATTATTGCTAAGAATCCTATTTTTGAGCCAATTAACAGATTGCCCATGCATGTTATTCCTAATCTTCCAGAGTGCTTTCTTGTGTGCTGGCTTAATGTCGACAATAAGAAATGCTATTGTCTGTTGTAGGTCATAAATTCAAATAGGAAAATCTTTTAAGTTAACGGGGGATTAAGTCTTACAACTTTATGTTAGACTTGTAATCTTTGAGTAATCAAGCATAACGTCTTTTTTTTGCATTGTTGGCAGTGACATCAACTATTAGTAAACCCTTTGAATTTAGCACATTTCGAAAAATGTATCTGTTTTTAAAACAAGGATGAGAAAAAGTTTCAGTGATCGAAGCGTCTCTGCGTTCAACTAAAGAAAAAATATAGCACAATTTCCAACATGATGTGTTTATTAAATTGCAGGAGATAGGTTAATCCGAAAAATGTGACGAGAATTCTGGCTGAATGATAGCAAATATGCGTTTCAGTGGAGTACCCAGTACCCATAAAAAACAACTAGCTTGACTCTTGAAAACATTTTAATGATGTGGTCCTACAAATCAGGTGTTTTGCCACGTAATTGGGGTGCTGAGATATACTATATCTAGTTTGTTCAATTTAGTTTTCATTACTTGATGACTACTTAATGAAAAGATATAAAGTTCTCTGTTTCCTATTAAGTGCGCTCGGTCCTCCTTCCGAGTCGTTCCCACGTTCGCGTTTAAACAGGTTTATTTTCAGCCGTGATTTTGTTTCACTTTTCGAGAATCAGAGAATAATTGTTCTCAATGATTGATTCCAAAAATGATTAGTTACTTACGATTTTTCTAGTTCATTAAGAAAAATTGGTCAATACATTTATTAGAATCAAAGTCAAATGAAATTGTAAATCGTGTTAGTATGGTTCTGTTCGTCACAGTTGAGTTAGAAGCAAATTTTTTCTACTTCTTTTGTTTAGTAGAATAAATTACTGCATTTGCGACATCTCACGTTACATTTCACCTATAATTTCTTATATAAACATACAGCATTAGTTTTTGCTGTAAAACTGTGGCTATTCTTGCAAATATTTTTTTCCCAAGTTTTGAGCTCATTATCCTTCACGCGGCATGATATTTTACACCAAGATATCTAGTATTCTAAGGAGAGAGCAAGTTAGGTCTGTACTCCATTTTTGTATATTTGTGCAAATAATTTTGTATTTAGAGAATAAAAGTTTTCACAGTAACGGAGTTTTCTTGTTTATAAATTTCCTTTGTGGTTTTGTCTGTTATATATTTCGATAATTTTTGTTTTTCTTGGAAGGTGACATTTGTAAGCTTTATCTCGTTCAGTTTTTGTTTTTCTTCTCGTTTCTCCAATTTCTGTATTCCTTTTCTTAGCTCTCTCTCGAAAAGAAATATACGAATTGAATTGAAGATATTGCTGCATTTCACATTTCTAATGATCTAACACTATGACACCAAGTGAATTCTTAGAAATACTATTTTAATTAAAAGAGTTCAAGAAATTAAGTAGTGTAATTAGATACCATGAGATTTTTGAGAATGCCCTCTTAGATTTGTAGACAGTTTCCAAGTAATCGATTTTTGCATCAATTAGGTTAGTAATTTGCATATCGAGTAACATTTGTTGAATATATTAGCGTCTCTAGACTCATATTCCGTATTGCTATGTTTCTAATTCAATAGAGCGGACGTCCCATTTATTAATTCTAGCACGAGTGGGGATGATCAGACACAACCGAGATCGTGGGGGAAGGGAAAACATGCCGGTTAGGATAACGAGGAAAACAGCAGCTAGGAATCAGGAACTGGGTGAAATGTTAAAAAAGGATGATGACTCGTCTGAGGAATCTTTACAGGTTATTCAGAATTGTCTATGCGTATTGAGATCGCTTTCTAGAACTTTGTTTGAAATTTATTTGAATGAGAGGTTTTACATTGTTATTTTTATCATAAATCCATATCACAAAATAAAAACACAAGTTTTTTAGATTCCTTGTTTTTATTTTGATCTTGCTAGCGTTATTATCTGACGCTAACAAAGGTGGCAAGTTAGCTCTTATGCAGTCTTGAATTTATTCTCATCTAATCTAGTTTCATTTCAGGAAGTTTTAGCAGCATTACGCGTCTCCAATGATTCGAAATCCGAGGTAAAAAATATTGCCTTTTAAATTACATTTTTTTTTCATGAGTTTTGATCCTGCTTTTCTAAATATTTTGGTAAGAAAGTAAACCGAAGTAAGATGGAACAATACTTTAAATACTAGTACAAGTTTTAAACGAAATTTAGAGGAATGTTTGGACGAACCATGTTACTGATAAATAATAGAATCCAGTAATGATAAGTTCTTTTACTACATGCTTTTGTAGCAAGCAAAAGATATCGCAGTTGCTGATTTGGGTAAGAAAAATGGCAGAAAGGAGGGTATGCAGACGCGGAGGGCTGCTTTGATGGATATGAAAAATGTGGTTAGAAATGAAGATGTGGAAACTAACAAACATGCTAAAGAGGAGTCGCTTTTTTCGCGCGCTAATAAACCACTGAAGTCAGCTCCATCATCGCCAAAGCGGTCAGACATAACAGATTTGAAAGAAACACAGCATGAAGATGAGAAAGTGCCACACAAGGTAAAATAAGCGCTTCATACATCAATTGGGCTTAGTAAAATAATTAATTTATTGTAACGGGATAATTCAAAACCCTTTTCTGTGTGAGAATCGATGTGTACTTTGTGAATAATCTATAATGATATCACTGATATCTATAACAGCACTATGTTGTAATATCTATAACAGCTATGTTGCAAAAAGTTGAAATGCATGGCATTTGCGTTCTGAAGAAGTAATTTTGTTTTTCTAGTGATAAAAGCTAAAGCATGATTCTTTGTTTCTGGAGTTATCAAATTCACTCTTCCTTATTAGGTTGGTCTTATTACAGTTACTGACGAAATCTCTTCAGGATTTGGCGCAGCTTGTACCATCTGTGAAGTGTGATGACATTAACATTCATAATCAGCGAGTTTCTGAGAAACCGGTATCGGATGAAACTAGTCGAAACGTTGACGGTTTGTGTCAAGCACAGAAGCCAGCATTAAAACCATTGCCATTTCTGCTTGGGAAGCATTCTCTCGCTGGAAGTTTCCACAGAGAAGTCGTATGCTGCAGGCAGTATGCGGAAGATAGTTGGAGTTATTTGTTTCAGATCGAAGGAAAGGGAATTGTTCCCGAAAATTTCCTATATGGATCTAAAGTATGTGTGTAGAACCATTTCCGGATTCTAAAATCATTATACCTGCGATAACTGACATGAATTCAAATGCATTTCAAGGGCTTTAGCGATCGACTATGTTTTTGTCATTAAAAATTCATTTAGGAATCAAGCGTTTACCATGTTCTTGTACAAAATTTATGACTATACCAACTGCATATAGATATAGTAGGAAATCTGTAGCTCGAAATCAGCAGCTTAAAATATATCAGCTCATATTTATCTGTATGCTATATTAATTTATATTGTTTATCTTTTGAATTGCAATACTACAGTCAATTTCTGACGGTAGCGTCCTTCGTCCTCGATTTAGATTCATAATGTCATATTTAAAGATTCCAAAATATAAGCGCATTTCAGATCACACCTAAGCATCGGATGGTAACATTGGATTGGGTCACACGTGTACAAGTCAGTTTCAAGCTGTTGCCAGAAACGCATAGTGCTACTATAAATCTGTTTGATCGATGCTTGGCAGCAAGTCGATATACACTTGAAAAGGTACACTGTTTTGGAAATTATGACAAGCAATGGTATGAAAATTTTCTGTTCTTGAACTGTGGATTTCAAACATTACATTAGTCTTCGCTCTCTGCTTAAATACTCATTTCAGCGACAACTTCAACCGATGATTCTGGGATGTGCTGTCGTGGCTGGAAAATTCGAAGAGATCTACCCTCCAGATATCTCTGAGTATTTGAACTACTGTGACAGTGCAAAAAAAGATGTCTTAGATTCGGAAATTGTCGTAAGTTATGAATTATGTCAGTCACCTTAATAATTAAAATAGATCAAACCAGCTTGTCTTTTTATCATGTATTGCACTTTGTATTTTCGTTTTCATACTTATTTAACTGTAATTTTGCAGTTTGAGTATAGGAACGTTTAAATTTCGAAAAGATCTGTTTTCCAGAGTCCTAACTCTCACATCTTAATTTAATAAATGGTATGATTATAACAGTCAGTTGAACTGGCACTAGGTTTCATCGTAATTAGAAGAGTATAGAATCATGATCAGGTTTTATAGAGTTGTTTTTCAATGGTAATTAAATTTTGTAATTGTTAATTAAGGTTTTACGCTTGTTGGATTATGACCTGAAATATCCACGAGCTATACAGTTCATTCGTCGGCTCACGGAGCATTACGATCTTAATGTGCACACAATTGCGAAAACAATTAGTGATATTGGATTATATGATTACGGCACTTGCCATTTGAAACCGTCAGTTAATGCTGCCGTCTCGGTTTACATGGCAGCTGCGTTAGAAAATGTCGTATTTCCAGAAAAGCTGCATAAACTGGCAAGGTAAGTGATCAGAAAATATTTTTTTTTCTGTCACGCTTGTTTATTTCCGATTTCAGTAGAAAAATTTTAAAATGGAATTCTCAAAATTCTTACTTTTAATAATAAATCCGAGAGAAAACTCTTGTTTTAGAATATCAATAAATGATATTGAGCAGCTTGTACCATTCTTTGCTGTGGCCATCTTGGATTTGATCAGAAATGAAAGTCACTACAACGCGATTTATAAGCGCATGTTCCTCCAAAGAAAGATCAATTTTACTGATGAACAACTAACTTATCTCGTGTCTATGGCCAATAAAATTCTCTGATTTTATTCTTATCAATTTATATTTTTGTGTCCGTTTAAGATTTTGTATTAACTTCAAACTGATTTTAACGAAGAACAAAGACCCCATCCCTTATCATCACTTCTTTTCACAAATTTATAGAACCCTAATTAGCTATGAATAAACGTTATCCGAATTATTGTTTTCCTACACCTTTTGAGGGAGCTTTTTCAGTGCTTATCAAACAAACATTTGCACTATTGAAGGAATCGCTATTTATCCGAGGAGAGAATTCGGGAGAAACGAGGCTTGTTCAAGCTCTCAGAAATTGTTTAGAGCTTACTCGAGTATTGCAAACGATTTCTTCAATAGTTGCTCAGAGTATCCCTCGTTTACATTACGTTCACTCATATACAGATTTCATTAATGTAATTTTTGACTTCTCAAATTTCATATTTTAAGTGATGTGTTTTCAAGGATTGTTTGACTATTTTGTTTAAATGTCTTTTCTCATAGTATGTTTGAGTGGTCGTATTGTTCCCTTGATACCATTTAAATGAACTGCGTTAATACTATCGTTTCTGTGTCGTAGACATGTCAACCGTGTTGTCATTTCATTGACATATATTTCATAGGTTTTGTCGTCCATATAGTACAGAAGAGTTAGCTCGCTTATTATAGCTAGTTGAAAGTATATATCTACCTGGGCTTTAGGGCATTCTACATTCTTGTACGTTTTAGTAGTGCTAGTAATTAGTTGTAGTGGTGATTATGCGGACCATAATTAACATAAATGTATTAGCATTTTACAAAGCCTAAAGAATGTTTAGTTCATGCTGTTAACACTTCATCGTTTGCAAATGATACATATTTTAGAGCTATGCTTGCTAATGATATGACGGTGAGGCGTTGGGTCGGTCAGACACTACGGCTTGAGTTAGTCGATGGACGTATAATTGAGGGGAAGTTTTGTTGCACCGACAATGTGCCAAACATCATTCTCAGCGGTTGCAAGGTAGAACTATTGCTCTTTTTAGTTTCTAAATTTGCTCTACGAGTAATAGAGCGAGCTACCGATGAAACAGCACGATGTTTATCTAAACACTAATTGATCTAGGACTACTGCTCCCTAGTTGTGATCTCTAATTTCTCGTAATAATTTGCTACCACCGTATTACACCCGAGATGTGGCAAGTATTGCTTGATTACTACAACCATTTTTTATTACATTAATTTGGAATTCAATAAATTTTAGGAACAATGGAAAAACGAATCAGAATCACGAATTGTCGGACTTGTAATGGCAAGCGGCAAGCATATACGATCAATTCATGTTGTGAATACAGTGACGTGTACGTGATAATTTTTGTACAATTGAAACATAAAGTCAACCAAATGAGCGAAGTAGAACAGATGAAGTAACAAAAACAACTTCCTCAAATAAAACATTTGAGAAAATACAATCACGGAATGACAACCTGCACTTTAAGGTGCATGTTCATTCACTGCGAGCAAGGCACAATATGAAGTCGAAAATTATTACAACGGAAATTAGGGACAAAATTTGTGAGTAGTGTATTTATAAATGAGATCAGGGAGTTATTTAATGGTACCTTCAAAGCGAGATTTGCGTTTGACTTCACCTGCTTTGACAGAACCAGCAGTGGTTGCCTTTTTTTCGGCTGCAGCATTGTACTTCTCCATTATTTCTTTTTGAAGGATAGCTAAAAAAAACCAATATTGCGCGCATAAGACTAAGAGTATTCTCATAATACTCTATGCAACTCACAGATTTGGTCGTAGAAGCAATCTTTTGCGAATCCGTGCGGATCAAAAACTGATGGCGCGAAATTTGAGCCTAGTTCATCTACTTCGAACTTCTCGATTAATTTTTCGTACATTGATGGATTTCTGAAGTCGCGCCTTTTTTGTATTAAAGCGTTTAAATCAGCTCCTTGTGCTTTCCTCTCAAAAAATCCTCGAAATCGTGCCTAAACAAATAAAATAGATTCTAAGCATATCCAAGCAGACAAGCTTATCTTAAAATTTAAAAGACCTCAAGTTCCGGAGGGCATTTTGCTGATGGTGATGGTGGTAACCGTATTTCCATGATCTCGTCATGAATTTGGGGGCTGTCGTTTCCTTCAGCAGATCCTGGAGTGAGACAGGGCCCAGTGTTGTGGACTATTTGATGCCTATCCTGTGAAAAAACATACTGGCTACTAAACCACAATTTCTCAAATTAATCGCCATTACTACAGTTTACTATGATCTAGTTCTCTTAGTCCGTAACTGCCTTCGATTACAACAAACTATATTTTTTATCTTTGTTTAAATTAATAAGCATACAAGTTCCTTTAAATTATTCCCAACATTATTGTGGACAGCAATATCATCAGGAGAATGGCTGTCTTCATGACCCGGAGGTGGTTTCGGCTCACGATTTGTAGATTCTGAACCTTTTTTTTCCGATTCTTTTCTTGCAACAGCTTTCCGATCAGCTGAAAATTTTTTTCACACTGAATGTAACCGTTAACTGAAAGAGAGAAACATAACGAAAAGAGACAATGTTGTCTTGGGTAAACACAAACTGCCGAGCGAGGTTAATGTTGTTGGTTTGTAAATTCTGCAGTAAAAAACAAAGATGTAATTACAACAGAGTACAATTTTTTTAAATTCGTAAAGAGACAAAATATTCATTCTAAATATAAATAAGAAAACCTTTAGCAAACTGATCTTCCTCATCATCCTGCTCATCATATGAAACCAACGAAGTTTGACTTTGCGTCATGGAGATTCTACTTTGTGAAGCAAATGACATATGTGGCGCAAATTTATTTAAATCATTCTTAACTGAGCGTCTCGTTGATGAAATCAACGCTTTCTTAGATGGAGGGGGAGGCAACAAGTTTGTACTTTCGTTATCTCCACTTATTGATCTCGTTGACCGATCAGGACTGGATGACGATTTTTCATTTACTGAATCATCTCAAAAGAAAATGGGACAATAAGTAAATTTAAACTGTGCTTGCAAAGTCAAAATACTCACCATACAAAATCTGAAGCATAGCTGAACATTTTGTGGGAAAATTATTTCGAAGTAAAAATCATTTCCATATTAGAGTTTAGAACTGACGAAATTCCCACGTACATTAGAACAAAAAGAATCACAGATCTACCACGTGAAAAGGTATACTTTATATGAATCTTAACTCATCTAATGTAAACTTATTTAAGATTGTGCACAAAAAATGTTATTGAGTCTCTAACGATGAGATCCAGTTTATTTCCTAACTTTTATATTTGAAGCAAATATGATTTTTGTAGTAAAGAAACAATTAACAAATTTACTGACCATTTTGAATATTAGAGCTTGAAGAATGCAAAAAATTATCGCAATTTATATCTTATATAATTTCTTACCTGTCCAGTACTCCGAATCACGCCGTCCTTCTTTTCGTTTGACTTTATTTTCTTTACTAGGCGAATGTTCTTAAATAAATCAACCATTAAAATGTTAAAAATATAAAATTTTACTTTTCACAATTTCATGAATATACAATAAAAACTCAATACAAGAACTTTATAATAAAGTTTTACATCACAATATCATTATATATGTTGCCTGTGCTATAAAAATATGCCCTCCAGCAATCCTAAATATGTATAACAGTAAGGTATTTTTCTACAATCTGGGAGTTTAGAACTGACGAAATTCCCACGCACATTAGAACAAAAAGAATCACGGATCTACCACGTGAAAATTTATACTTTATATGAATCTTAACTCATCTAAGTACACTATTTACGATCTACAATCTGTTGTAGCTACTTATTAACTCTACGATTTACTTTCAAATGAAAGACAAAAAATGTATATGATAACAAATTGGTTCTGTCATAATCTTTTATTTCAGAATAGGATCAGTCACTTCTGTGAATTCATAATTAAGAGAAAACGTATGGTATGCCTATAGGCAACTACATTAAAACTATACAAAAACCAAGGAAATATTTTACCTTCGTCACTTTTACTTCGTTCCAAGTGTTCTTCTGAGGTTTTCTCATAAGGTGAATCGTCATCGCTATAGTATTCTGCCAGATGATTCATAATTTGTGCAATGCTTGCGTCACTATAATCGACCTCAAAAATATTCTGATAACGAGCGACTGAGACAAAAATAATTCAATTATGATAAGAACTAATCCGGAGCATGTTCTGAAATATGTGCCACAATCCTGACGAAAAATTAAGCACCCAAATTAAGAAACCAGACAGTTTGACAAGCAGTGCTTGTTTTACATGAAAGTACATAGGGGTACGCAGTGAAAATTTTGTCTCTCATAGCAATTTCATTTTATTCAAAAGAAAATCAGTACGCAAGAAAGATTAAATTCGATTAACTGTAGTTGATCTGTGCTTACCTTTTTGATCTTATAATCTTTATTTGCTTATTATTCAATCCCTTATTATTAGACTGAGAGCATGTTGCTGAAGGTGTAGAAAAATGTATCTGTAAGTGATTACATACGCATAATCATTTTAAAGCATTGCTAAATTTATCAGCAATATCAGTCAGTGCTTGCTGTTTGAATAAATACTAAACAAGCAATAATTTCAAGCAGAACCATTATTCGTAGTTTGAATTGACGTATTACATTACAGAATTGCATAAATATTGGATGAAACGTAGGCTTATTGCTTTGTAAATTTTGCATGAATTTGAGAATCCTTCAGTTTTTGAATTGCAGTTACAGCAATGAGATTTTGTCCTAAATATGAATTAAATTTTGTAAATTTTCGTTCTACTAACTTATTATTATTAATTTTTGTGATCTTAACTCTATGCTTATTCCACAGTAGTACAAATTGAAGATAGAGTCATGATCAGAAGTAATATGAGTAAAATGGTATCAGTGAAAGTGAGAAATACCTCCTCATTAAATAATCAGTGGCACACTGAGTTGGGATCAGATTTCTTGATTATATATTCAACTTACAATGATTACTAATTTGTTTGATCTTTTTTGCGCATGTTAATAAAAAATATGCAAATTTTCAAAATGTTAGTTTTAAATCAAAGCAATTTAACATTTTTTACTTGAATACTATTTTGATTTACGTCAAAAGTAGTGATATTGCTTATTTGCATGAAAAACTACTCTACTGAACAACTGAACTGATTAAATTTTCGTTCAATTTGGAGAATTTATTCGCAGTGATTTCAACGCATACAATTTTAGCCGTGCAGTTTTTAAATGACAACAATTTACATAAATACTTCTTCAAATATATTAATAAGTCGCAATCTTAAATGTATTTATCAGTTAGCATATTTCTTACTTTAAAAATTTCAAATTTACTCATATTATTCAAATCTTACAATTTTCTTATTCATATTTGTACTTAGCGCCAAAAAGTAAATCCTTCCAATGAAACTTTAAAATAATTTGAAACTTAATTAAAAGATTGTTTTCTGTTTCTCAGTGTAAATTTCACTTTATTGTAATGAGTATATTAATAAAAATACTATATTTTTTCACTTTCAATACTTAAAAAAAATTATAAAAATAAAATAATTAAAATTGCATTTGTAATTGTTGAAATGAAGAAATTGAACTTACAAAACAACTTATCTTTCATTTAGCATTTATACCAAATTATACATTACGTGCAGATAGATTGTAATTCATAATATATTTATACATTTCAGCTACAGATTTATGTGCATAATTAGAATATATGTTCGTGAGATATAGAATGGCCTCATGACCTATTTACGTCAAACACCTGGGAAAGTGATGAAAATCTCAGTAATGGCATTTGAAACAGGTTTTTATTCACTAACACCAAACAACCAAACAACCAACTAAATATCACTTTAATAATAATTATTTTATCAGATATGTTAAGCAATCATAATTGTTGACTCGATTTTGTAAACTTCTAGCATAGTTTTGTAAATCATTGCCTTGATTCCTCCCTTCATTCATTCAATCACAAAACAACAAATATTACTGTAAAAGCAGTAAATGAATATAATTCATTAAAAATTACTACTCTGATTTCAATCGTTATCTTTTCATGCGATTCTGTTCCTTTTGCAGGTAGATAACTAGATAAGTGAATAAATACTTGCTAGCTAATAATCAAATGAATGGATAGATGGATAGGTCTGAAATAGCTTGTTGTCAGCTAAATTTGCTTCAGAGTGATAATTATTGTTTACTGTGAATGCATCATTGCACCTCACTAAATTGCTCATTTAAATTACTGCAAAAATTATTAAGCCAAAAGGTATGTATTTAAAACAAAAACACACATATGTTTATGTACGTAGAAGAGGTAGTAATAATTGCTTATTAAATTAAACAATCCATAGATATATTATTATTAAAGTAAAGAAACCGGGCTTAACTGAATTTAATTTGCACGTAAAAATCTTAATTCAAATCAAATTTTCATATGTCATCATTTTTAATTAATTTTATCTGTTTATAATTCAATTTCTGATTTAAATGGTTTAATAATATCGTTGTATTTATATCTGTTTTGATGTTATTTGATCTTTTCAAGTATTATTTTATTCTGCTGCTGTATTTTCGATCTGTTCACTGCTAATTTGAATATTCAAAAATAATTTTCTATCGTTAATTTAACTAATAATTTGAAAGCAAAGCATAAATAGTCTTTACAAATCATACAGTATTTATTTATACATATTTTATGGTGTGTTTATGATTGCGTGGTCATATGTTGAGTGTATGTAAATTAACACATATCTAGAACCAAGTTGCTCCAAATACCATCAATCGCCATATTTAATAATTGTTATTACTATTATTGATCGCTATTTATTATTATTACTATTATTATTTAATATATCACTGCTATTATTATTATTACTCTTACTGTTTTTTTTACTTTTACCATGACTTTTATTTTGTCTTTGTAGTTACTTTCTTTTACATAGGTAAATTATGCAAGATAATCTTCTTTAGACGACGTATTTCTAGCACAAATATTGCAATCTTGTTCGGCAAAAGTTGTTTATCATACTTGCAGAATGTTATTATTCAGTGCAAAAGCACTGCAAGTTACTAAAATTTGTTTTTAGACTGAATTTTCAGTTAATACTGGGTTTTTGAGTTATTCGAATAATTAAGTTGATATAATTACCTTAATTATTTGAATAACTCAAGATTATTTTAAAATTAATGAGTCATATTTTTGATATTGTAGAGCGAATCAATGAATAACTATATAAAATTAACCTATAATCCTAAATTCCGAGACTACTGATCAGACCATACAGTAAATTATTTATACTTGGAATAGCTTAATAATTTAACGTAATAACTGTGCTAAAACGTTTGCTGTCACGTAATTAGATGTATTTTGAACTTAAATTTCAATTCCAATAAGAGCATAATTTATTTAAAACTCATTTTTCTCAAATGAAATAATTTAATAAAAACTTGAAATGAAGTCTAAATCTTGCTATATTTGTTGTTACAAAAATTACAAAGAAATCTTGATTGTGAGTAAACTGTCTGAGTCTTACAAATCATTATTAATGTTAAGGTTGTCAAGGGTCAAAAACATTCTCATTTAATCTTTTTTTGATCGCTGTGAGAGCACACTGTATGAATATCATTCAAAGCATGAATAATTATTTACTGTATGGTCTGATTTTATTGTGCATGTAGATTTTAGTCTTGCTTACTTTTAACAAAATTGAAACTTGTTAATTTTTGGCAAAAGTTTGCGGTTCTTTGATTACGTTAAATTTTCGCATCGTTGACTCAATCTTAACCTTTGACACTAGAAAGAAAGAAATAAGACGATTGATTGATGAGTGCATTTTTGTAGCATAAATTTCTCAGATGTTGTACTTGCCAACTGTTAATTTTTTGAAAAGCTTAAAAGTTTATTGGTATATATACCAATTGGAAAGAAAGTACGAAACTTTGCACAACTTAATGCTCTCAACTTGTTGCATATTACGTTTTCCTCAAATGTTAACCTTTAACCTTTATATTTTGCAGCGTTTGCATTTATATGATTTCTTGACAATTTTCTGAGACGTGGAAAATTATTTCTGAAGTATTTGTAGAACTGTAAAATTTGATCACCGAGTCATTCATTTAATCTTGTTGTCCTCTACCCAGTCAAATTCTTTTAACTCAAGTGACCTTCAAATTTGCATGTATTTATTTGAGGCATTAAAATAAGTCGAAAGCGATTAAAATTTCTGATGATCATTCACTTAGTTCAATGATGTTTTCTGTCTTTTGTTACTTTAAAAGATTTACAGATGATACTTATTTAGTAGAATTGTATAATTTTATATATTACTGTATACATTTAAAAAGTTGCTACTTTGTGTTAAATAATTCGTGAAAGATAGTTGCGATAACGAAAGTATTCACCAGAATAGTTTGTGCTTATGTGAGCTGAAGAACTTTCAGAATTGTTTTTCAGATAAGAAATGCTTCTGCGAAAATTAGAAGATTAGATTCAAAATTTGTATTTCAGTTTTAGTTTATTTTTTTAGAACAAAAATGAAGCGTTCGTGCAGACCACAACGACGTAATTTTTTGTCAGCGAATAAGGAATTTTTGGAAATAATATTTTGCATACTTTTAATTTAATATTCTTAATAAAACTGATGCATTTTGCAAAAATAAATTGAAAAACTGGTCTATATTTTTATAATCAATGATAGATAGATAGATAGATAGATAGATAGATAGATAGATAGATAGATAGATATGGTAGTTGCTCCTTTATGATCCTTGTGGAATTTAATTTATTTAGCAAAAATAGAAATTTAAAAGTGTCATTTATTCTCATAATGTGTAGTAAGCTCAAAATCATTTTGATTACTTAAGAAGTTTATTTGGTATTTTTGTGCTTCCTCCAAAATATTTAGATTGAATATGATCGAAATTTCTGAGTTTACAAGTTTTAATTTGCTTTTTTGTTAAATGATTAAACTTTATTTCATAAGCGCTTATTATTTTTTCACGTAATAAAAACGTATTGCATTTGTTTCATTTCTTGGCTATTTACTACTTTTGTATTGCTTTCATAACTTTAATAACAAA